CTGGAGTTACAGATGGTTGTTAGCTGCCATGTGGGTGCTGGGAATTGAACCCTGGTCTGCAAGAGCAGTCAGTGATCTTAACCGCTGAGCCATCTCTCCAGCCCTATATATTTTTTTTAAGTAAGTGAACTGGATGACAGGGCTTTTGGTTAACACATATACAACTCATTCTGCTTAAGCCTGACACTTCTAAAGGAGTGACAGCCAAAGTTTCATTTACAGCTGATCAGGGCCTGTCCAGGCTAAGTTTATATAGAAAACCATCTTTTCATTCGGTCCCATGACACTGTGTCTCAAATATATATGCTCTTTGAATGTCAAAACAACAAAATGAAAAGGAAATTCCACTTTCTGACACCACCATGAGTAAGAGGGTTGACTGTTTAAACCACTCCTGATTCATAACAATTAAACTCCAGTGTCTACATACAAAATAAACCAGAAACAAGTGCCTTATTTGGGGAAAAAAGGAACACATCTTTTCTGGAATACGATTCTTGGCCTCTTTGCTCCCTTTCCTACTTGGCACAAAGAAGTAAGAGATGACTGGGGCTGAAGGAAAGACAAAGGGCCACATGACTCAGTTTCTTCTGTTTGTCCTTTTTTTGGGGGGGGGGGGGTCTTTTTGAGACAGGGTCTCCCTGTAGCCCCAGCTGTCCTGGAACTCACTATGTAGACCAGGCTGGCCTTGAACTCGCAGAGATCCACCTGCCTCTGCCTCTCGAGTGCTGGGATTAAAGGTGTGTGTCACCACACCTGGCTTTGTTTGTCCTATTTTTTAAATACTTTATTACTTTTATTTAATGTATATGAGTGTATGGCCTGCATGTATGTATGTGCATCCATGTCATGCAATGCCTGCAGAGATCAGAAAAGGGCATCAGATCCCCTGGAACTGGAGTAACAGACAGTTGTTAGCCCCCCTGTGGCTGCTGAGATTTGGACCAGGGCGTTCTGCAAGAACAGCCAGTGCTCTGAACTGCCGACCCATCTCTCCAGCCTGTGTTTCCTATTTTTTGATCTGCCAAAGCACAGTAAGTGCTGGGATCCATGCTGCCAAAGAGTGGTAGCAAAGTGGTTATAGGTTGGAAAGGCATATTATGTCTTTTGTTTCTTTCCTCTTGGTTTTCAACATAGGAAGAAAAGGGGTTTTTTGGTCTTTTTGAGACAGGGTCTTCCTGTAGCCCCAGCTGTCCTGGAACTCACTATGTAGACCAGGCAGAGATCCGCCTGTCTCTGCCTCCCAAGTGCTGGGATTAAAGGCATGCATGCGCCACCACGCCTGGCAGTATGCTTTTTTAAAAAAGTATTTTATTTACTATTTTTTATGTGTACGCGTGTATAGCCCGCATGTAGATAAGTGCACCCATGTTGTGCAATGCCCGCAGAGGTCAGAAGAGACTGTTGGATCCCCTGGAACTGGAGTTACAGACAGTTGTTAGCTGCCATGTGGGTGCTGGGATTCAAACCTGGGTCTTCTGCAAGAACAGTCAGTGTTCTTAACCACTGCACTTATAACTCAATCTCAGGAATCCTAATTACTAATACTATGGAAAGTGCAGCTCTATTTGAATTATGAAGAGGAACTCTTCCTGCTCCATAAAAGCTAGTAAGTATAATGCCCCCTACATGTTGGATCAGGAGAACAGGACTGAACAAAAAGCAAGTTCTGCTGAGGGATGAGAAGAAAGCTATTATGAGAGAGAGAAGAAAGCTGAAGGGGAAAACCACCTCCATACTTTGCTGGACCACATGCCTGACAGCTAGGCTGAAGGCAAGTGAAATGTGCAAAGCGGGTATGAAAACCAAAGTGTCTGAAAGTCAAATACTGGAAATTTTCTCACAAATTTGAGACAACGCCACTCTTTTGCTAATTTTGCATTAATTGTTCTTTAAAGTTTGCAAACATGTGATAGATTGATTACAATCACTCCCCAGGTCCTGCAGATACCAAAATCTTCATGTTCAAATCTCTTCTATAAATGGTAAAACGTACATATATCCTACACACATCTTCTTATGTACTGTAATCGTCTCTGTGTTGCTGTTACTCCTAATACAATGTCAATGATGTATAAATAGTTACACTGTGTTGTTTTGGTAATAGAAGGAAAAATGTCTGTACATGTTTAGTACAGATTGAAAATTTTTCCCAATATTTTCCATCTACAGGTGGTTGACTCCACAGATGACAAACCCAGGGATACTGTTCTTTCCTTTGCTGCTGTTTTTGAGACAGGGTCTCCCTGTAATCCAGCTGGCCTGGAACTCACTATGTATATATGTAGACCAGGCTGGCCTAGATCTCAGAGATCCCCCTGCTGGGATTAACCATGCCCAACTGTGTTACTGTTTTTAAACGAGTTAAAAATACTATAGAATGTCTGCTTTTATTTCTTAATATAGGGTGCAAATCCCTTATCTGAAATGTTTGGGAGCAAACGTGTTTCTGACTGAGCATTTTTCACAGTTTGGAAGAGTCACATAGACTTCATTGGCTGAGCATCCCTTGCTAAAGATCTGAAACCTGCAACGCTCCAATATTCCAGAACAGGGTCTTATGCTGGCACTCAGAAGGCTTCAGACTTTGGAGCATTTTGCATTTCAGATTAGGAATTCTCAGTTTGTATTTAAATGTGGATAGATATAACCCCCCCACCCATAATACATACATACACACACACACACACACACGCACGCACGCACGCGAAGGTCTTGGAGGTCCTCAATGAGATTTGCTGACTTAAATCATGGCTTGATTTTTTTTACTGCATCTCAACACATTCTCTGATTGATGGGCCTAGCATGTTAGAAGCGCTTTTAAAGTTTTAGTAGAGCTGGGGGGGCGGGTCATAGCTCCGTCAAAGAGTGCTTACCTAGCATGCATGAAGCCTGGGTATGGTCTTCAGCAACACAAAAAGGAAAGAGTAAAGCCTCCGTTGCTCTCTTGAGTTTACTTAAGTTTGAGCATGCTTGAACAGTTAGCTCCTGTCTCATCTCTGCAAGCCTCTTTTTTGCCTAACTGTTCTGATTCCTGTTTGTGTTTATCATGTATGCTGTGGTTTGGCCAGAGGTTCATGTGTTAGAATCTTGGTCCTTAGTGTGGTGATGCAGGACCTCTTAAAAGAAAAGGCCTAACAGGAGGTCCCTGGGTGCCCTGTCCTTGGAAGACTAAAGTACTGCTTGTGGGACCCTGAGTTAGTTCTTGTGAGAGCAAGTGGTTACCTTGTACCTAACCCCTGAATCCTCTCCTTTGGTTTCTTGTCTCAAGATAGGATCTCTTGCTCCTATATGCACTTCCACCAGTGTGACGCCATGCATCATACACTCCTGATACAGTCCAGCTGGTGCCAGTGCCATGAACTCCACAACCATGCTCTGCAGAGACTGCTTTTCTTTTAATTATTTTTATTTTATTATTATTATTATTTTATGTGTGTGTGTCTGCCTATATGTATGTTACATGTGTGGGTGCCTCTGGAAGCCAGAAGAAGGTATCAAGTTCCCCTGAAGCTGGAATTACAGGCAGTTGTGAGCCTCCCAACATGCCTATTGGGAAATAAAGTCCCCTGGAAGAGCAATAAATGTTCTTAACTGCTGAGCCAACTCTTGAGCCCATAAACTTACTTTTCTTTATAAAGATAGCTAGCCTCCATTATTTCACTACAGTAAGGAAAAACAGCCTAACATAATACATTTTAATCTACAAGAATTTTCTTTTAAAGGTTCCTACCTTTTAGAATGCCTTTTCCATTCCCATCTGCCTCCCCATATCTCTCTATATAAATTCTACACTGCTCTTCACATAGACTCCCATATCTATGCACATATAACTTCCAACCTCCAACCTTATTCTTCTCCATTCATTTTCCTTTCTAGTCACTTACATTTGTATGCCCCAACTTACTTTGTTCACTGTTTTTCACTGCCTTAAGCATGTACATTCTCTTACCAGCGACTTAGTACAGACAAACTCTTCCTGTCATTAACCAGCTGCTTTGTTCTTATCCCCGCCCACCTAGTATGCTTTAAGCATACCAGGCAGGCCAATCTCTCTGAGTTTGAGGCCAGCCTGGTCTACACTGATAGGTCTAGGCCAGCCAGAGCTGTGCAATGAGACCCTGTCTCAAAAATAAAAACTAAACAACAACAAAAACTAATGCTAATATTTTATCAAGTTTTAATTTCAACTCAGTCACTTGCCTATATACCCAAATATGCTAAAAATATTCAGAAAAAATATTTGATTGTGACCTAGAGCAACACCATATCCCTAAAGCATTCAAACCTGTAAACCTCCATTATAAAACAATACATTAACCATCTAGGAGTCACATTTACACAAACTGACAAAGAACTATAATGCTATGAAAAGAACAGAAAACAATGCTCGGTATGCAGAGCACTTCTCCGAATTCGTGTGAACTATGAATGCGTGTTAGACTGCTATGGCCTATGAAATCAGATAGAAAAGTTTTAGAAAATCTAGTGGTGGGGCTAGAAATAGAGCTTAGTGATTAAAGTGCTTGCCTAGTATGTGTAAAGCCCTAAATTTAATTTCCAGCATCAAAAAAATAAGTAAAATAAAACTCAGTAGACTATTAAAAGTAGCACATTAGCTGAAGAGAGAATTATTAAAGGCAAAATCAAGAATGAAGAAGACAATTAAAATATAAAAGCTGATGTTCATGGTTGGAAGGTACAATCGGCATTTAACAGTATCTTAGAGGAAAGGAACAGAAGCAATGGTGGAAGAGATAATGAAATAGAATTTTCCCAAATTGATGGACTATTATTTCACAGATTTAAGAACCTAAAAGAATTCCCAGTATGTCTGGGAATGGTGGCTCACACCTATAATCTCAGCATTCAGAAGGCAGAGGCAGGACAATCACTCAGAGTTTGAGATCAGCCTGGTCTACATAGCAAGTTCTAGGCCAACCAATACTACATAGTGAGACCCTGTCTCAAAGAATTCCTAGCAAACTGAAAACTAATGGACATGTAAATATATCAAAGTGAATCTACAAAAAAAAAAATACTAAAAGTTTCATGAAATAGCCAGAGGAAAAAACTATAAATTACATTCACAGTCACTACACTGAAGCATAACTAACTTATCTTCTCTACAGTAATGCACCAAAAAAAATATGCCCTAAGTGTGTTTGTTGCAACAAAGCAAGGTTGGTTTAATTATTTGGAAATGACTGTAATTCACCTTATGATAATCTCAAAAGATTCAGAAAAAAAAAAACGTGCTGCAGAAATATACCATAACAAAGTTCTAACCTGATAATTAGGGGGAAATACAAACTAAAATCATGGTAAAGTACTACTATACCACCAAATGATTAAAATTTAAAAATCCACAATATGAAGTATAGGATAGCATAAAAGGCACGGGGCTGGTGAAATGGTTTAGTGGGCACATCACTTGCCACAAAGCCTGATGACCTGAGTTCAGTCTCCAAAACCCACACAGTGAAAGGGAAGAACCAATACTGGCAAGCTGTTCTCTGATCTCCATATGCATGCAGTGGCACATGCAGACATACATACACACAGACACACACACACACACACACACACACACACACACACGTAAAGAAAACAAACAACAACCACCAAACATTACTTTATGGCATTAATGGTTTAATTAAACTAAATAGCTTACCCTGACACGAGCATCTTCCCATCATGGGAAAAAGCACAAGCCAGAACAGGGGCACAGTGTCCATTCAGTGTACTTTTATATTTTAATTCAAAGCCTGTAATTAACAAGGTGAGAAAGATTAGCAAGTTAACTATGCTTACAATCTCTTTTTAAGCCAACACTATTTCAATTATTTGCTTAATAATCTGAGCAACCAGAAGACACAAAAAAATAAAAAATCCTCAGGCAGCTCAGGTAGGTATCCATATAAATAAGCAAATAATTATAATGCAGGGTTATAAAATGATGTCAAGACTCAGTAGTAGCTGAGGATGTAGCCCTGGGTTCAATCTCTAATACTGAAGGAAAAAAAATCCTCAATAATAGATTTTTTTTCTTATACCCCATTAAGTCCAATCAGTGCTGCCAAAAGATTTTTTTAATGATGTACCCTGCAAAGACTAAACAGAAACAACTTTATAGCCACTCGATTATTTTTCAACATTTAAAGTATACACAATTTTAGTGCCTAATGAGAAAAATATGCTAATAGCCTAAAAAACCAAGGACTTCTATCTTGTAAAATCTGACATTACCAATTCATT